AAAAAAATTAATTCTACTGAAAAGTATCAAAATTAATGTTATTTAAATTTTTACAATGTGTGTATGTGTAATAATTCAGATTGTTTAAAATTTTAATGTATGCATTGTTGTATGCTACTATTTTCGTAATAAATGTTATAAAGTTGTGAATTTTATAAGGTATTTTTTGATTTTCTTCGATATGTCCTTTATTTTCCCCCCAAAAATATGGTCACTGTAGGTATAAGTAACACCCTTTTGAAATTTTAAAAAATTCTAAATTTTATTGAACAAAAATTACATAAATACAAGAATAAAAAATACAATGATTTAATATTAATGGACATGCTCAAAATGTTCCCCTTCATATTCAATACAATGCTGAACTCTACTAGCAACACTTCTACAAACTTTTAGACATGTTTCCATGGTAATTACAGAAAATTTCTCTGCAATTACTTGTTTTAATTCAGGAATTGTTTTTGGTTTGAGGCTGTAAACCTGATCCTCCAATACACCCCACAAAAAAAAGTCCGGTGGTGTTAGGTCTGGTGATCGTGATGGCCGCTCGATAGATCCTCATCGTCTTATCCATCTCTCCTCAAAATTTTGATTTAACCATTCCCAAACTCTTAACCCATAATGGAATGGCATCCCATCCTGTTGAAAGTAAACATTATTTTGATTTTCGACTCTTGGCCAGAATTCCGTTTGCAGTAGAAACTAATAGAAATTAAAAAGGGTGTTACTTGTGTCCCACCAATGTATATTATTTTAATAAATAGATGAAAATTAACCAAAAAAATAGCCAAGATGTTTGAAAAAATATAGGCTATACACTATACTGTTTAAATCATTTTTTGAAAGTTTATTTTTCACATATTTATTAATGGAAATTCAGAACTTAAGAATCGAACTTTTTTGTTAAAATAGATCATTGCTATTTAAAAAAAAAAATTAAGAAAACAAGGAGGAAAAAATTAAAACCACGGTTGGATTTTCCTTCTGTTTTTATCTATGTTTTACCTGTTTTCCTCGGATATGTCCTCTTTTTTGAGTGTAAAATTTTTATTTGAGCGAATTTTTATAAGCATATAAAAAAGATAAAAGTAAAATGCAAGGTACAATTTTTTATGATTAAATTATGTAACTATTTTATCTTATACAGTACTGTATACGATATACAATATAGCATTTTATCAGAGTCCATAAATATACAGGAATTTTTCGAGGGTGATTATGTCAGGTCCTCAGATTCCAGCCGCCCCATTGTGGGCATGGCAGAAAAAGATGTCCTCTTGATATCCACAGGATAAAAAGAGTTTTAAAAAAATTATTATTACTTTAATATCTGAATTAAAAGGAGTACAATTTTAAAAAACCAATCTTTTAAACACTTCTTAAAAGATTATAAAACTTCAAAGATTAAATTAATACAGAAGACAACCGTCGTTTTTGATGTGAATACGTCTTTAAATTTGCTTCCGTAGTGGGAGGCAATTCAGAAAACTGATTATAACAAAATCGGGGGATACAGTTTGGCATTGTAGCTACATATCTATCATCTACATTCAAAATTTAATTACACCACTCGATAGTTAAAGGATAAAAGAATTCATTACGTTGAGTGGGGACTGAGACGCATCTCGCGCGGTGGAGGGGGAAGTGCGCTATTTTGAGGTCGTTTCGCCGCTCACATACTTTCCGTTTAGTATATATTTTGACTCGGAGAAGCTACGATGCTCGTTTGAGTTTCAATTTACTCCTCAATATTTATCGATTGCGTACACAAAACATTAGTGTGGAATAGTTATGGTGAATATATATGGTGTTAAAGTAAAAAATTAAGAAAACTTAATACAGTGCAGGGGCGTGCCGTGACATTTGATGATAGGGAAGCTGTGTTTCTATAAGAAGCCGACATCCAGGGGCAATCAGTGAATTCTTTCTTTAAATGTATTTTTAATAGATTATTTATCTGACGTACTTAATAAACAAGTTCATTATAATTACCTCTGTTATTAGATCCAATATATTCCATATGCCCTCTAAATGCTAATTCTTGCTTTGATAAAAACATATAACATCTATTTATTTAGATATAATATATCTATTACCCATATAATATATCTCGTTACAATTTTCAATATTTATTTTATATTATTTACTAATGTTAAATTCTATTCCGCTTCGATTTCCAAATTGCTTCAAATACGAAAGAATCGACGATTTTTCGTGTCTTTTGCCAGCTAAATTGTCAAAGACATTCTTATTCCACACACTAATTTCACTCTGTAAATGCATTTTTATGCATTTACAGAGCCATTTTATCGTGAAAATATCGAACAAATTTTTTT